TTCAAATCAAATCAAATATTTGATCTTTCAATTTGAATTTGATTTGATTTGAAAATTTATATTTGAATTTGATTTGAAATCAAATATTTGAATTAAATCAAATCAAATCAAATTAAATGTAGAACCCTACTTGCTATTGCTATAGTATCTTTTAGAATTATATTTTTCTTTTTATCTGGTAACTATATCGCACACTCTAAATTTAAAATACTAATTAATTTATATAAAAACTCTACTTGTTCTATTTTTTATAATTCTAAACATGCTTTATTTTTACAAATTGCAAAACTTATTATATGGGATAAAGCTCTAATAGCTCATAGATATACTCTTAAAGCTCTTAATGGAATCTAATAAAAACATTAGATCTAACTTTAGAAAATTAATCTTTTGGAGATAAGGTAGTATTCAGAAGTGACTTCTATCAAATTTTTTTTGTTATATCAAAAGGTGAATATGAAAATATTGCTAGCTCCTGTTTATATTATTTATATTTGTAAAAATATGTTGAAGTTTTACTATTGAAAAAAAATATGCATCTTTATAGTATTACTAATACTAATAATTATACTAAACAAGAGGATTTGCTAAATATCTTATTCAACTTAGTAAAGATCACATTCCTAGTATTGACTATAAAAAAGATCTTATTTAACTTTCTAATAATATTGTTCTATAATCTTCTTCATTATATAACCTTATACATGTTGTATATTCTAACTTTTCATCTAAAAATGATTATATTAATTTAATTAATTCAACTATTTTGGCTTATTTCTTTGGAACATCTGTTGAATATCATTAGTTAAAATAAAAAAAATCAGATATCTGTTTTATTTTAAACTGATATATACCTGATTGGTATTAAATTGCAAATCTGTTATAGCCCTAATTGCTGTAAATTTATGCAGCAATCTGATTTGAGTAAAATTATAAAATAGTTAATTCTGATTTATGTCAATTGTTGGTATAATTCAGCATACAATCAAAAGGGCCTGACATCAATCTGATTTTAATAAATTGCTTAATTTGGTCAAAATTGAAGGTTATATATATACATATATATATTGTAAACTAAAAAAAAATAAACAATAAGTGATACCAAAAAAAACAAAAATTCTGAACTTCTAAATTTTTAATATGCTGAACAAAATTCTTCAGATTTATTAGAGTAGGTTTTAGATTTAAAAACTAAAGCCAAAATTTGGGCGTCGCTTATGCTATATTATACATGTGACTGAAATATTTTGACATATATTGAAGCTATTATAGCTTATATCATAATTAGTTTGAATAAACCAAATAGTTTTAGCAGTAAATCTAATTGCAGTAATTATATATAATTCATTTATTTCTACTCAAATGACAAATTTTACAAAGATATTTGTTGATAATACAAGCATACTTATTCTGTTTTAGCGTTGCTTCTTTGACTTTTAAATATTATATAATTTTAAGTATTTAATTGATAATACAAAGTAGTGAAGTACAGTGCAATATTAATGGGGTGAGGAAAAAAAACTTTATTTTTTTTATACAGTAATTTTTGATTAATTAGAGCTTTTCTTTTTTATTCGATGCCAAAATTTTGATATTGTAATATAAAAAATTTGCGCATAGTGGATGAATATTTCTACAGTTTAACTCAATACAAAATATGCAATAAATTGTTTGTGATCTAATTATTATTATACTTATTTATTATACATGTCGTGTAAATAATAATCTTGGTTTGACGCATCTTAAAATTGAATTTCTTTCTGATACAACTCAATTTTAAATCTACACCTCCGAATCTAATACACTATATATATTTAAAAATCATATCTATTATACTTATAAGTAGAAAAGATATATATTTATAAGTATAGTAAGTATGAAGATAGTTATACTTGTAAGTATAAAGGTGCGATGAAAATGTTAAGCAAACATTTCACATGATATAAGTATTAGACTTGAGCTTACATAGCTTTAGTGTTAGTTGATCAACTAATATTTAACTAACTAAGTTATTAAGAGGCAAATTCTACTTTGCTAATAATGATTTTATGCAAACAATAATCAATTTATCCAATGAAACTTTTAAAAAAAGACAATAGTTGAATTTTGACCAATAATTTTTAGTTCATTGGCTAAGTCGACTTGGTCGGGTTAGTCGATCAAGTTACTTAATCAACTAGCTATATATTGGCTTATAACATTACATAGTATCGTCTCAAAAAAATAGTAACTAAATTTTGTTCTGGTTTACATCAATTTTGAAAACTAATTGCTAGTAAAGTTGTGTTTATCATGCTTAATAAAAATATTTTTTGATTTTCACTTTGACTTTTATTTTGACTTTGACTTTTACTTTTACTTTAACTTTCACTTTACTTTCACTTTCACTTTGATTTTTATTTTGACTTTAACTTTGATTTTTACTTTAACTTTTATTTTGATATTTACTTTGACTTTCATTTTGACTTTTATTTTGATTTTTGTTTTGAATTCTGTTTTGACTTTCGTTTTTACTCTGTTTTAACTTTCACTTTGACTTTCATTTTACTTTCGCTTTGATTTTGAGAATATTTATAGTGAATAAACATAATATAACAATCCTATTCGAAGTACTATATAGTAGTAATCCCAAATCCAATATGTTTTTTCTTTCTTAATGAATATTTGATCGATCAATACTAATTTGCTATAACAAGGGTGAGTTGTATTTGGGTATACTGGTTCTTTCATTATTTAACTTATAACTATATTTTCTTTTTTCGAATTATAAGTACTATAATGAATAGTAAAATTTTAGATTTTGTATATTTGGTTAACTCTGTTTTTCATATTTTTTAAGCTTTTATTTTTTTTGTTCAAAATAATCTTCTGCATAATTCTGTTCATTTCCAGAAAATTTGAATTACGCCCTGATCAATAACTTTTAAAAGTACGTTAAGTACTATAACAGTTGAGCAGAATTATTCATATAACCAAATTATATGAAATTAGGGTTGTAAAATTAACAGGCCTTCATTAATATCAACCCATATATAACAACAAAGAAGTAAAATTTATATAGATTGAACTTAATTTTGTTTACAAGTTTAGGCTAATATTAACAAAAAGTTGATATTAACAAAGTTGATATTAATAGGGATTACCTGTAACAGTAGGCAATAGACAGTTTGAGGTAGGATGTTTTGCAAAATAATTCAATTAAAATCGTACGACAGGATGAAACCTGGCCATGAGACTCAATGCAGATCTCTACTCTTGATAACTTCCCAAGACTAGGACAACATGATAATACTGGTGATAGAGCATGGCTTATGTGATTAATATTCTGTATAATACTATTCAATGTAGTGTATTAAGCCACAGGGTTTTAATCTGCTGACTAAGCCAGTTACTAAAATATCAGCTAAGCGACTGGCTAACAGCTTACTTTAAGAGTTAGGTTTGGGTCAGCATCAGATAGAATAGGGTTTGGATTAGTATTGAATAGGTTGGTTTATTATAGTTAGTATTGATAGTTGGGTTAGGTAGATTGCGTTT